TCACTTCTATAATTCTATTTCCACTCCAGTCTCCTTTCGTCTCTGCAAGTTTCTGCCAATCAATTTCGAACGATGAAATTCAACCCAAATCGCCAAGCCAAACCCTAACGACCAAATCAATTTTGAGCCTTTCTGCAATTTAAAGAGCCCTTCTGCAATTTAATGACTCTTTGGTACACCACACCACCAAAGTACTTTGAACTTTCCGCGCATTTCTGCAATTTATAGTTTGCTTGACACCACTGTTATTATGGTTAGTTATTTATTTTCTATAATCTATGTTAAAGTTTAGAGTATGAGTTAATGCTTCTGTGTGACATTTTTCGATGGGCACATCATTTATATATAATTAAATATATCCTACCTTGGAAGTTTAGTTTAGGCATTGCCGTATTGTTGTGAAAAAAAAAAGATTTTATTCTTATTCAATTTTTTTAATTAAATGACTACTTTTAAAGTTGATCTTGTTTACGTGGACGATGGTTTTAATTGTTGGGAAATTATTCACCACCAGGGTTGGAGAAGAAATAATATAGAAAACTAATCAAGAAGATGAATATAATCAAGAACAACAAACCGAACAATGCAGAAAATAATAATCAAGAAGATGAAATGAAGAAGATGAAGAACACAACGAATATGAAGGCTCGAACGTGTAATCGCTGTCCTCAAACGATATTTGCCCCCTCTCGGTATTAATTTTGGTGCTTAAAGGGTCTCGCGGCAAACGGTTTGAAGGATTGATCAAGCCTTGATGTGAAGAAACACAAAAGCACAAGCATTTCTCCACCCGAACTTCAGGAACACAAGGAGGAATTCTATGAATATGAAGAAAGAAAGTTTTGATTCTTTGATTGTGGAATGTAATATGGATCTCAATGTTTTCCATATGTTTTTCATGTTTTTGTAATGTTGTTTCAATGTCTATTTATCACATATTTATAGCCATGAAACATTGGCACACGAAATGGTGCCAAAATGAAATGAAAAGCCGCCAAAATCATAACCGAAAAACTGCCCAACGGCTATATTCCTTCTTCTATGCGGTCGCATAGAAGGATCCTATGCTACCGCATAGGTTTCACAAAGGCAGGGCCGTTAGGCCCTGTAGGCGTCTATGCGGTCGCATAGAAGGATCCTATGCGACCGCATAGGTTTATATTTTGGCCTCCGTTTTTTCACTTCATTCCATCTTTATTTCATTCCACACACCGGTTTTTATTATTGTTGAACAAATATACAACATTAATCTCATCTTGTTTTCTTGTAGAAGTTTTGGGGGAGAAATTTCAGTTTGCTACCAGTTGGATGGTGCTTTAGGGTCTCATTTAATAGTGTTGCTCCATCTTGCAACTAAGCCCCTGTTTGAGCTCCATTCATTTTCCCCAAAGTCATTTTCCACCACATCTCTCCCAATAAAATAATTTCTATACGTAAATCCAAAACTATCCCCAAAACACGGGGCTAACTGCAATTGTTCAAAATCAATTTCACATCCATATTAGTGTTTTGACTATGAAGATTGTGAACTTGTGCTCTATGTTGTAACTGTGTGATGTGATTTAAAGAGCCTTGGAAAATCATTTAAAGAGAATGTTGGATAACAAAAGCTAATAAAAAGAGGTGTCCATATGCTAAAGAAAGACCAATATCCGGTTGTAATCCATTATGTAAATTTTGATTTTTCTCATTTTGTATAAATAAGTTGGAAATGATGGTTTCTGTTTCAGTTGTGTTTCATTGATCCTGGAATTGCAACTGGGAGGAGCTGGAGAAGCTAAAGAACTTGGATAGCGTTTGTGTTGAATTATAATTAGAAATCTAGATTTGGTCTTGTTATAAAAAACTTGGTACGGTTACTTGCTATAAAAAACTTGGTTGTTGATACAATTTTTTTTAATATGGCTGCATTATGTTGAGTTTAACCTGTTTCCATCTGTTGAGGTGATTAAGGACGAGTACTTTTTTTTTCTCAATAACAAGGACATCTGCTGAGCAGTTTAAGGCGTCTTCTTATGATGTGAATTGTGCACCCATCCCTACCCAAAACACTATAGTAAAGGTAAAAATTTCCCTTGGCTACTGTTTTCTTTTCGTGCCAACCATATAATTTATCTATTGTCTCCTTTTCCAGTTCAATATCTTGTCCATTTTCACCAGCCTTAATTAATTTAAACTTTCTATGCCTGGACTGATTTTTCTATGAACTGGACTGATCCTCGTGGTTAAGTCAGATTTCCAAATTGCAAAGTGAAAAATGCACTTCTGGCCAAAATTATGCCAAGTGTTTGCTTTAAAGAATGTTATTTCTTTATTTTACTATTAGTTGTATATGATTAGGGGATAAACTTTGCTGGACACCTTAAAAACAACTTTCAGTGCTTAGCTTCTAGGATTTGTCTTGCACCCATTATCCTCGTGTTGAATTTTCTTATTCGAATTAGCCTCAGTCTAACAGTATATTTGTGCCCATCTCTAATTCATTGTTTGGCATTCTTATTCTGAGCATTTTGACTTGAGCGTCATCTTTAATAGTCAGTGACCAATATCATTTGATTTCATAGTAATGAATTTATGCATTGTCATTAACAGCCCGGCAAACACATAGCATGAAAAGAGAAGAGAAGAAGAAAAATCTTCGGGTTCTCATTCTATGGTTTATACTGGTCTTGGAGATTAATTTTTCCATTAGGAGTTTGAAATGAATTAGAGATGATTTTGGTTACTATAACTACTAATAACACTGGGGAAAGATGAAAAATCATTCTTGTTAAGGAAAGACAGCAAATGAGATTATTTGTGAATCATGACATTATGCTCATTACTTTTTGTTTACATAATGACTTGGAAATAACATTCTTAACAATCTTGTAAGTAAATGAATTCTCGTGGCTTTGGTTTGTAATCCCTCAATGTACTTCCACTCTTAATTCAATCTGACAAGTACTTTTTGATGACAGATATCAACTGGCCTAGAAGCACGTCAAATAGCTGGTCCTGCTACACCGTCGCAGATCAAGAACTTCACATTAAGTCAGCATTTGTAAGAGATCCAAGTAGTACTGGAAGTATTGGATTAGGACCAGCAGGACTGCCAAGCGTTGCTTCAGATATTTTATCCCCTGCTCTTGTTATAAATATGATTTTCACGTTAAACTAGAAAATTCGTTATGTTTGATATCGTTTGTTATTTTCACAGATGTCTGGCCCAAGTAATGCTAGAAGTATTGGATTAGGACCAATACGCAAGGAAGATAGCATGACCAATGTACCAGAGACCAATGTCCTGCAAGAAGATCAAGTTGAACTGTTACCAAATGCAAATAAAAGGACAATAAACATAAGTGACAAGGAGCGTGATATTGGAGAAATATCATTTGGAAAGAAGAAATTGACTTCAACTGTGTGGGACCACTACAAAAGATAGAAAATTGGTGAGAAATGAAAGGCTATATGCAATCATTGCAAGAAACAGTCAGGGGGTGAAACAAAAAACGGCACAAAGCATTTGCATGATCATTTGAAGAGATGTGTATTCTGCTATAAGGATAATACTCACCAAGCAACATTAAATTTCAAAAAGGATGCCACGAGTGGCAAGGTCACAATGGGTACTTACTCTTTCGATCCAGTTAAGTGTAGATATAGTCTTTCAAAAATGGTGATTTTGCATAAGTATCCTTTGTCTATGGTTGATCACATTGGATTTCGAGAGTTCTTGCATGACCTACAACCATTGTTTAAGGTTCCTTCTCGCAACACTTTGAAGAGCAACATTTTGAAAATCTATGAATATGAGAGAGCCAAAAATATGATTGCACTTGAGAAGATTGAGAGTCGAATTTCGATCACTATCGACATGCGGACCTCTTCTAATCAAAAGAGAGGATTCATGGTTATCACTGCTCAATTCAAAGATGATGCACGGAAATTACAGAGTCGAATCATGAGGTATAGTAAAACATTACATTCGCTTGTTCTCATAATTTACCAAAATGATATTCTTTTAGTTGATTTAATTTGTTCTTGAATGAACTCAGGTTTATATATGTGCAGTGCCCACACATTGCTGATGTGCTTTCAGAAACTCTATTGAGCAGCTTGATGGATTGAAATATTGATCGTAAGTTACTAACTTTGACTGTAGATAATTGCACCACAAATGATGCAATGATCAGTATTTTGTTAAGTCAACTTTGTACTCATTCTCTTGTACTAAATGGTGAATTTTTTCATATGAGGTGTTGTGCACATATATTAAATCTTATTGTGAAGGATGGGTTGGACATTACTAGTGGTAGTGTTGAGAAAATTCGTGATAGTGCTGCTTATTGGACAGCTATGCCAAAGAGATCTGAAAATTTGAGCTCTTTGCACATCAATTGAAATTTGATTGTGAGAAAAAATTTGTGCTTGATTGTAAAACAAGGTAAGATTTGACGTATTTGATGCTTAGTACTGCTTTGATTTATAAGGATATTTTTTCGCGTTTGAAACAGAGGGAGTCACGATATAAATGTTTTCCTAGTGATGGTGATTGGGATTTAGCAAAAGAAATATGTGAGAAGTTAAATGTTCCTTTTTTTTTTTTTTTGAGGTTACTGAATTGTTTTCAGGAACAAAGTATTCAACTGCTAATCTCTTCTTTGCAAATGTTTGTGATATCAAACTGTCGTTGTATGAGTGGCTTGAATCTCCTTATGTGGAAGTTCAAATGATGCAACCAGTATGATGGAAAAGTTTAATAAGTATTGGAGCGATATTTATGGAGTTTTAGCTTTAGCAGCAGTGTTGGTTCCGAGGTATAAGATAATGTTAGTTAAGTTTTATTATCCTCGTATTTTTAATCACAATGCTGCAAGTGAGATTGACAAAATATATCAAGTTTGTGGCAAGTTGGTGCACCTTTATTAGAAAAAGAATGATTCAAGTGGGTCTGTAGCTCAGTCTTCTACTTCTTCTTGTCAAATCGAGACGTCAACTACTAATAATAAATCAGATTGCACGGCGGATTTTTATAAATTTGTTTCTAATTTTGAAGCTCCTAGTAGTGTGAAAATCGAGCTTGATACTTTTTTGGATGAGCCTATATTACCTCGGTCAGATGATTTTGATATATTGACATGGTGGAAAGTGAATTCAATCAAATATCCGACTTTATTTTCGAATTGCAGAAGATATTTTGGCCATCCCGATATCTACCGTGGCATCCGAATCTGCTTTCAGTACTAGTGATAGATTTGTTAGTCCACACAGAAATAGACTTCACCCCAAAACTTTGGAGGCTTTAATGTATGCTCAAAATTGGTTATTGGCCGATATTCACAGTACGATGTATAGAAACATTTGTTTTTTATATTGTTTCTTTTTATGAATTTTCTTATTACTGATTATTTTATTTTATTAATAGCGAATTTTGCGCTGTCTGCATATTTTAGAAGTTGCTCCAAGATGACTGATAAGGATGTTGATGAGAAGATAATTTTATTTATTACATAATTTAAATTTTAATCAAAGTTATTATGAATTTATGATGATATTGAGTATAATATTTCTTTCGTTTTTTAGGATCCATCTTCTACAATATCTGAACCTACCGATGAATGAAGTTATAAAGATGGAAAAATATCAAATTTATTTTTGGATAAAGAAGTAAAATTTAGTTACAATGTAATTGTATTCGTAATTGTTTATTTTCGGATATTGTTTGTTTTGAGTACTTAATTTGGATGTTAGCGTTTTTAAATTGTGAATTTGAGGGGAGGGGAAAAAAATGGGGCAGTAAACGGGGCATGATCGCACCCCGCCCCGCGCTGTCTAAGGCGAGGCGGGGCGGGGCCGCCCCATTGCCATCCCTATTCTTGGGCTCTAGTTAATCTTTTACTTGGGCTTTTGTTAAGCTTAAAAAAGAGGTATGTATTTTAATTTTACATTCAAAGATCATGATTCAAATAAATTCAAATCAAGTATCATTACAAATAAGACCCTACCCAACACATCCCACCCCAAACAACCCAAAAACATACAAAAATGAGACCCTGCCCCACATTACCCCATCCCCACACAACCCAAACCTTACATATCTCTCTTTCTCTCTCTCTGTTATCTACACTAACTCCGGCTAGTATAATAAACTCTATCCTCCCCAAGGAGGAGTCCAATTTCCAAGTTGTTCTCTGCCTCCATTGTAGTGCCAACAAGGTAAGGTAGACGAAAAAAATCTGATGTCTGCCTTCCTCTAGTTCGTCTAGTGGTCTACGTAGCTATTAACGTCGCTGTTGACGAGTGCACATCGCTTGGTGGTGATTCTTTTTCTCTTTAAACATGTTCTCTTGCACGGATGCCTTCAACTAAGTCGACTCAAAAGTCAATCCAATCGAATTTCTTCACCTTGGCAATAAAGGTAATGGTTGAGCTGTGAGTGCTATGGGTACAATCATGCTTTCCTTGGAAGGGGGATGTAGGATTGAGCATAGGTACTTGGGAGGAAGTGGAGTGAAAAATGGTAGTCATCACAAAGAAATTGAAAGTGAACAGGGGATTGTACATGTAGGTAATAGAAACATAAAAGTGGTGGATTGTTGTTATGGATTTGAGATGGTTGTTATTGTGGATTTGACGTTGTAGTGGTGATTGCTATTATGGATTTGAGGGGAAGGTATTATTTATGGTCGTGGATTTGAGTTGAAGGTGGAAGTGGTGGTGCGTTGAAGGTGGAAGTGGTGGTGCGTTGAAGGTGATAGAAGTGGTGACTGGTGGTGCTGGTTTGTGATGTGTGTAGATTTGCTTGTGGTGGCCCTCTATAACCAAATTATGTTTTTATTGTGATTGGTTATGACCAATTTTGCATTGATTGTGACTTGATAGCATATCGTCACAATTAAAATTGACCTGATCGCAGTAGACATATTAAAAACAAATTTGATCACGTTAAGTTACAATTGAAGATAAATTTGGTCACAGTTAGTCGTAGATAACACAGATTAGTGATATACAGATATAAATTAGATAGTCATAGACAGTCACGCTAAAGACAAATTTTGTTATAGTTAGTCACAGATGATACAAGTTAGTGACTTGGTTATATAAAATCACAAACTAAATGGTTACAGGCAATTACACTAAAAAATCTAGTCACAGATAACGCAATTAGTCACAAATATGGGGTGATCCCTTAAGGGTCTATGGGGTGGTTCCAGGATGGGATGTAATGTCCATAAAAGATTTTTAATTTTTAAAATTTTTTCACAAGTTGGGTGGGTGTGAGATGGAATGGGAGTGGGGTCCATGGGGTAAGGGTTAGAGGTGTGATGTTATTAATTGATATATTATTAATTTGGTTTGGTTGAGATGAGGTGGGGTGGGGTGGCGTGGGGTGGGGATAATTAATTCTAATAAATTATATATTATTAATTAAAATTGATATGTGATTTTTGAAATAATTTAACAAGTTTGTTAATTTTCAAATGTAATTTTTATAGGTAGGATTTATGTTTTGTTCCACGTAAAACAATGATAATGCTATGTGTACACACGAGATTCCATCACCCTCGCATGGAGGAGGATCCACGCATGTTTTATTGTGTGTGGACCCCCTTCATGTGAGGGGTATAAACCCGTGTGTATATGATTATATACGTGTAGTATTATCTAAATACAATGTTTGAAGATGCGTCATCCTCACGTCATGAATTCTCTATTGGTATAACGTCATGGGTGGCATTCATTTTCATTTTTAAGGAGAAAATTGAAGTGAAAATTGTTAATTTTTGTCTTCTAGAAAAAGCGGTGGCTTTGTACTCCACAATTTGATCCTCAATCACATCAACTTATGTCATCCAAACCTTTTCATTTTTTCTTTTCTTTTAGTAAAAGTTATTTTAATAATATCGTCTCAACGAATACTCATCAAAATAATCAATTATTCGTTTCATAATTCGACGTCAACATGTAAACATTCAATATCCGCTATGTTGTGATCAGTAAAGAATTTTTTTTTTATTTTTTGTATGATAAAACTATTTTACGTCTACATAACATTTCAAGCCACTTGATACATTCAATATGAGTCTTATCTATCTTGACACGAGCTTGATTAATTAGTGTCAGCCAAGCTTGCTCCATCACACTGTTTTACATGTATGTGACATTTCAAGTCCTTCATAACTCAATATTAACGATGTATTACACGTGAGCACACAAAGACATTTTGTTTGACAAAATATTGTATTTCATGGTTCAACTTCAAAGTTCAAACAGAAGCTAGGTAAAGAAATAAGATTAGAGGTGGCAATTTATCCCGTCCCGTCCCGTTGCCATCACTAAATAAGATAAGTTATAAACAATTAAGGGAAAAATCTGGAAGTCTAGAACTGCAAATATATGGTACCAAGTTCTTTTGGAAAAGATTCTTGTGGTCCCACACTGCAATATCGGATAAATCCTCCGTTACATAAAAAGAGGACCAAATAAAGGCCCATGGGCCCACTAGGCCCGGGTATAGGACTTGGGCCTAACCCCATCCCCTCACTATATACTCACCCCGTCTCCCCCCTCGTCCTTCATATTTTTTACTGAAATTTTTTAATTTTGCAAGGAAAAGTCGGGATAATTGTGTTTAATGGCTTCTTCTGAGAGTTTTGTCACTTTTGAACAACCATGGACGTTCCAGCGATCACTGGTTTCCGACTTCTACACAAAAGAGAATGACGCGCTCACTAAAGCCTTGCAAATGTCATTTACAGGTGGTGTCGCCGCAGCCGACTCGGCGCTGTCTCTATCGGTGAAGCCTGAAACGGTGCCGTTCCAAACACCCACGGCCTCCGGTGGGTCAGAAAGTGAAGCCCCGGTTTCGAAACCCAGGTCCGTCGGATTGACCAGGAAGATTACCAAACGGAAGTCACGCGCGATGAAAGGTGCAACGACGACGTTTATAACAGCTGATGCTGCGAATTTCAGACAAATGGTACAGCAAGTGACCGGTGTGAGGTTCGGAGGCTTGAACGTACAGGTGCCAGTAACTCAAGTGCTGAAGCCTGAGCCTCAAAGGCTAGTCAACCGGCTGCAGACGAGTGGAGGCTTGCCTACGCTTGACACGTCATCTTTTCTTCTAGGCCAAACTCACCACCAGCAAGTAGACCCTGCTTCGTATTTGGTGGCTCAGCCACCTGTTGTTAGTTCTCAACCACCGACCACGGTGGTTACTGATGGAGGCTTCGGTGGGCTTGACTTCAACTCTCTTTCTAACTTTCCCACACTTGAATCTTGGAAGGTTATGTAATGTGGTGCAAATGAGGTTAACTTTCATCCATTGGGGGACGGCCCAAATCATTGACATTATCCGATCGTTAAGTTCGACTTAATTTCCATTTTTTTTACTAGTTTATTTTTTATGAAGAGGAATATGTGACAGGGGTAAAATGGGAAATGTAGTTAATATTTTGGGATATAGCTTGTATGAATGGAACTCTATTGTATGAGATGCCATATAATGTGACATAAGTTGTTTTCAATCATTTCTATTTCAATTTTTAGTCAAATTAGGTATGTGCATTGATTGGTATCCTTTATTTATGGCTAAACACATTATTGTGGTTTTAAGGGGAAAAAGGGAATAAAAATGTCACGATATTTTTTTTTCCTTCTCGTCTCCTATCTCGAATCATATGCATGCCCTTGTTTAAGTCCCATTTTGAGGGGAAAAATGAATTTTTGAATAGTGTATTAATGTGAAATGTATGGTTAAAAAATAAAGAAAAGTTTTGAATTTACTTGTAATATTATTTTATTGAAAAATGTATGATTGAAATCATATCAAAACACTGTAGAAGAATTCATTTTCTTCAAAGAATGGGGATCAAACAAGGGCATGATTTGCCTTGTTCAACATTGTCACGTTTTCTTTTCTTTCGTTCAAGAGTCTTTTATAGACTTTGACGTTCATCTAAAGTGGATGAAGGTTCTCGTGCCCACTCCTCCTCCAAACTAGGACTTGAGCGATGAATTTGATTTTAAATATTTATTTTTGTCAAGAACTTTAAGAGATTTAATTTGTTTCTTTTCTCCTATGAAAATTTAACAATTATTGACAGTCTTTATCATATTGACCATCGTGCGTTACATTATTATCGAGTTACAACCTCGAAATATTAAATTCTTATGATCATTTTAAAGCTTCGATTTTTTTAATAAAAAATTAAATGTGAGATTCCATTTGACTGTCTTGTTTTTTCTTTATACACCATAATGGATATAATTGAATTAGAAAAGTTGATAAATTTCGTTATGTAATCATTTTTTTTTCTCTATATAATCTTGCATAGCGTGCTCGGATTACAATAATAAAATACCTAGATTAGAAAAATTAAAATAATGATAATCTTGATTTATTCCTGTTGAATTATGTTACACGTACATCAAAATGTCTATAATGGTGTGAGTTCCTCTTCATGTGAGGAAGGTGGACAACGTTATAGGTATCGCATTATGTACAAGTAGTATATTCCATTCCTGATTTCTAGAAACTGGAGGATTTAATTGCTGAATTGCTTCTGTCTAAAGAATTGTTATGCCGACACTGTTTATTGATGTTGATATGAAAAATTTTTGGGTAATTGACACAAAACGTCCTTACATTTCAAATCTATTGTGGAAAACGTTCCTACCTTTCATTTTTTGGCATTTTTACCCTCATTTCAACCTTTCTTTGCGTTGGACGTCCTTCCGTCCATATTCCGTTAGTTTTTCCGTTAATTAAAGGGTAATTGGCACAAAACGTCCCTACCTTTCAAGTCTGTTGTGGAAAACGTCCCTACTTTTCATTTTTTGGCATTTTTGCCCTCATTTCAACCTTTCTTTGCGCTGGACGTCCTTCCGTCCATATTCCGTCAGTTTTTCCGTTAATTAAATACAAAAATACCTTTTTCTTTCCATAAACAAGGATAAAATTGTCCTCACCCACTTCACCCCTTTTTCCCGCTATCAACTTAGTCCATAAGTAACATTAGCAGCGACATAAATCTGAAAATACTTTAAATGATTAAGTTAAATAAAGAAAAAATATCGTGAACACATTATATTTCACAATTCCACAACTACTGTTGCTGTCATCTTGTGTCACTGGAAAATTTTAGAAAGACATATTAAATGGGTAATCAATTTATAATGAGCCAAAATGGTGAATGGCTCTTTTTGGCTCAATGGAGAAGATGAATGGCTCATTTTAAATTGACTCATTATAAATTGACTACCCATTTAATATGTCTTTCTAAATTTTTTCAGTGACACAAGATGACAGCAACAGTAGTTGTGGAATTGTGAAATATAATGTGTTTACGATATTTTTTCTTTATTTAACTTAATCATTTAAAGTATTTTCAGATTCATGTTGCTGCTACTGTTACTTATGGACTAAGTTGATGGTAGGAAAAAGGGGTGAAGTGGGTGAGGACAATTTTACCCTTGTTTATGGAAAGAAAAAGGTATTTTTGTATTTAATTAACGGAAAAACTGACGGAATATGGACGGAAGGACGTCCAGCGCAAAGAAAGGTTAAAATGAGGGCAAAAATGCCAAAAAATGAAAAGTAGGGACGTTTTCCACAATAGACTTGAAAGGTAGGGACGCTTTGTGCCAATTACCCGAATGTTTAACGGAAAAACTGACGGAATATGGACGGAAGGACGTCCAACGCAAAGAAAGGTTGAAATGAGGGCAAAAATGCCAAAAAATGAAAGGTAGGGACGTTTTTCACAATAGACTTGAAAGGTAGGGACGTTTTGTGTCAATTACCCAAATATTTTTCGCAAAATCATCATGGTATTTTCAATTTTGACTTGACCTTATAATTGCTCCCGACAACACGTAGACGTGTATCCAGATGATAACTGCCCAGACAAATCATACACCGTTAAACACGGAACCCCGTGATTATCTGTTGGTCACTGTACAATGTTGACTTCCATCAGGATAGTGATTGGTTAATCTTGGGACCCGCAAAGTTGAATTGACGGTCCAAATCTTCGGTAAAATATCAAATATCAATTAGAAAGATATTTTAATTGAGTTAAAAATGGATTGAGACGTAACATTTATGGTAAAAAGATTTATTTTTCAGGTTTATGGGATTATTTGTTTAGGTGTGATTATCTGCTTATAATTTTCTATTCCGTAAACAAACTAAAATATGAATCGAAACGAAAAGAACCAACTTACACATACTCATCGCGCATCTTTACATGATAACGGAGAAACTCGAGCTAAAATTTCTTGCCAATTATAATATTTTATTAAATGATGTGAAAATATAAATCTTTCAAGATTATAGTAGAGGAAAGAGAGTAGCGAAGGGTATAATTGAAAGAGATAGGAATATTATGTGGGAAAAGTAAGTAGCGTCAATAGTGGGGGCAATTATTGACTCAAAAATCTCAGGTCTTTACCCTGCTTTTGGGGTCATATCGTAAGCACTGACGTATGAGTTGACTTAGTCAAAGTCTTTGTCAATCATGACAAAAAATGACTTCAACCTTATTATCTCATGATGTGCCTTTATGTAAACCAAGAGGTTCAGACAAGCTTTTGTATGGCAAGTACAAATTATTTATAAATGAACGAATTTGAGCTCCGAGCAATATTACTGTGAAAATGAGAATGAAAAATATAGTTTTTATGAGTTCCACACAAGAGGTAAAAAGTCAAATATGGTGATTTGATGTGATGGATAACGGTCATATCTTTCATTTTAATAAGGAAATAATGGGGCTCAAACATGACTTTAATTTTAATCACGGATTTCAATAAATTTATATCTTCTTGTTCATCACAATTAAAAAATTAAATTGTATATAAATTCTTTCCAGACGAAAGCTAAACTTTTTTGTTCAATAGAATTTTGAGAAATTGAATTATTGGTAGCTAGTCGTATAATTTACTATGTCAAGCGAGGAGCTACTTGAAGTTGATACGAAATGACCCATGGGGTTACCGTATGTGCCAAGCCATCATAGTTATTCTTGTCGTATCGACATAAAATTCTACACGTAACAATGAACTAATTACTCTTACTTGAAGAAGTGTTATTACGCACTATGAAAATATTGATTGAATCGAATTTTAGATTAAACAACAAATTAGTTCAATGGACGTGGATAATTCTTTGATATATAAAAATGTGAACACTCAATCTAACCTTTGTAATGCATGTAACTACTATGATCCAAACATAAATGTGGAAGATTTGTTGTAGAGATCTATTTTTGTGCTGACGAACCATGTGACAAAACTTTCACAGTAAGATTTTGATAAGTTTTTCGTAGTTAATATCTACAATAAGGCAAGCCTTGCATATTATTATGCATTGGTAAATATAATTTCCCGTTTGAATAAGTATTGAAAAAAATTGGTTGGTTGCTAATAATCCAAACTTGATTACATCTCTTCTTACATTGGCAACAACTTGACACAAATTTCTAATGAATTTCTCGAGGTCTAGTGTCTAATGGAGTCACAATCATGGCACTCACTTTCCACTCCATATTTAGTATTATTTGCCTATTTGGACATTAACAATCGAGCCTAGAACATCCCAAACAAAAACACAGGCCAGACTCATCCATAGTCAAGTCATATCGAGACCTCGAGGGCCCATTTAGCATGCTTTTGAACATATTTGAATAATTTTCTAAATATATTTTGGATAATTTGAAAAGCTTTTAGATAAAGCGAATCTAAGATGACTTCCTCGAACACGTTTTTAGACAGAAGCCATACCAAACAGACCCTAACTACAATGTGCAAGTTTTGTTTTAAATTAATATTTTACCTGCCATAAAATTTGTTTTTCAAGGAAGGCTACAAAAAGTAGTTTACTTATGAATGTATATCTTCGGTTTAATTCCGTATGGTCCTGACATGGATAAAAGCCCAAGATCTCACTACAGATTCGGGTCCACATCCTCGAGGACGACCAACCTTAGATAACACTTACTGGATTAAACCGGATCCACTACAGCCCACCTCAAAATCAGGCCATGGCAACCAGCAAAGCCAATTTTAAACTAATAGTTGGGCCCAATGGCCCAAAAGTGATTTTTTAACTATATTTTCTTATATAATCCAATATCGTAAATCATAACTACAAGATTTCACATGAGGACAGCACAACAAAATCCAGTCAACATTGTCTGAGATACACAATAATAAAAACCATCCACAAATACACGTGTTGATATTGCCTAAACATCTAACTTATAAACAACAGGAGAATATGCATATCGATATACACCTAAGACATTGTAAATACTTTTCTTTTTCGAGACAAGGGTACAACTTAATACATACTCGTGAAAAGTGCGTCTCCCATAGCTAAATTCTCGGATTCTGCATTAAGTAACCATGATAAGTATTCAGGTCCCTCGCACATCATGGGGTCCGATTCACTAGGTGGTGTAACCTTTTTCCGCAACAGAGTTTCAATAACAGGGCACTTCCTTTTCCTGCCACCTCTCGATATTAATCGAAATTGTTCATCAGACTCTTCGAAATTTCCCTGAACACAAGTGGCCACAAATTCAGTTAACCAGATCCATTTCCTGTTAAGCAAAGGTCAAATGAAGCATAATTTACAAAGTAAATGGAATATATTACCTGAGAATAGACATGGCACCCAGATTTTTCGTGGTTATCTCTCACGTGTTTAAATGCAAATTTCTTGCCACAACCAGGAATGCCACAGGTAAATGGTTTAAGATCCAAGTGCACGGCTTTGATGTGTTGTTTGAGATTTGATCTCTATACAAAAAAAGCAGGTTAAAAATGGTTTAAAGCAAAGAGAGACCATCACGCAATATATTTTAGCAAATTCGGTTGACAAACATGTTACAAATCTGATCAAAGTTAATTGACAAATGTGTATACGACATGCATGCACCAATTAATAATATAATGCACATGGACGAATGAGTGGAGTGAATGTTAGATTTGGTAAAATGTAGTAGCTGCTTACATTTGAAAATGTATGCACGCAACCATCGAAACTACACTTGATTCTATCCAAGGAAACCCCCACTTCATGTGCTCGAAGATGACGCTTAATGTTTTTCTTCAGCTGCCTCGTGCCACATATCTCACAGGCAATGTACTGATGACAAGACAAAAAATGTTCCTTAAGGAAGTGCTTATTCGTGAAATATTTCATACAGCCTGGTTCTGAACATAATGCCTCCACTGTATCCAACTTAACTGTATCCAACAATGTGCAAGAGGTTCGGAAAAAAGTAATTAGTGTGGCTCATATATATATAATGTTATCCAACAAAACTATCTAACCCGAATTTAACTTGCTTAAAGAGAAATTCCGAAAGGAAAACAACTTACTGTGGGAGTCTTCGTGTTTACGCAATTTGGATGGATACTTGAATGCTTTTCCACATCCGATTTCTGAACAGAGATATTTTTTGGAATGCTCTGCATTAACAGAAGAAGATTCACAGTGGTTCTCTTTCACATGACGCTTCATATTACTCTGAAAAGCAAACCGGCGTTTACAGTCCTCCATGGGGCATTCAAATAATGTCCCTTGATGCTGAAGCAGATGTCGGGCCAAGTGATCCTTCCTCCTATAGCAGGAGTGGCAGTCATCCACTGGACATGTGAAAGGCCTCTGTAATAGAACAAGTTAACATAAGAACAGAATTTTGGTATAACCTCCCTGTCAGAATAGACTTGAGCTCTATTCCAATTCAAAACCAACACGATCCTCAAACCTCAAAGAAGTACAAGCGTGATCGAGGCTCACTTGATGGAGCTTCACAGGTGGTCCCCCACCCGGTACTGATCCATTCAAGGTATTGTTGCCACCTCTTGCATTTCGGAGTTCTTTTCTGTGGGATCCAATGCTTCACGCTCATCCATTAAACAATTTTTTTCCACACATCAAATCAGTACAAGCGTGATCGAGGCTCACTTGATGGAGCTTCACAGGTGGTCCCCCACCTGGTACTGATCCATTCAAGGTAATGCTGCTGCCTCCTGCATTTTGGAGTTCTTTTCTGTGGATCCAATGCTTCACGCCCATAAATAACAATTTTTTTTCCAGACCACTTCAATCTGCAACATCATATTTTTTTCATTTGCAAAGGGACCAGAAATAAGAAGTGTGTTATTAAAATGTTGAAGCACAATCATAAGTCTGGTCTACTATTTCAAGTATTAACACGTTATAAAGAATAGCATATTGTTCAGTCAGAAACTTATCATTAAAATCCAGGAGGATCTAGCAATATAGCAACCAGATGCAAATTTAAATTACCTTTAACTTTCTAAATTGCCCGACATTTAATTTCAAGAAATAGCACCAAGAGTATAAAAAGGCCAGTAAAACACACAGACAATTAATATAATTTAAACATTTACCTAATATGATTCATTAAGACACAAAAGAATCATGTCAGTGCATCATGCATTTGAGTTTCTCATTTGACCCTATAAAATATTTTTTAACACTTGATAATTACAATGAAAGCAGTTTAAACAAGAGCTTCACCGCATACTAACAAACCACTAGGCAAATGATAACACACAACATTGCAAAACAATCGATGTTACAATCAAATGACCCAAAAAGCAGACAAGTTACCTCCAGGAAATGGCTTTGCATATGCTGCTTTAGATGAGCTGGCTTCTTGAAACACGCACCACACTCTTCACAAGTATTCATTTGTTTCCCTTCCTTTATTTCCTCCTGTTGCTCTTTTTCCTTTATTTCCTCCTACAATTCATACAACACTAACTTTTAACAACAAATCCACACCTAGCAAGTTTAAAATGATAAAAAACAGAGTTGCACTGAAATACTTCATCTACTCCAACAATCAACCCAGCCAATTGCAATCCAAACGTAGGCAATATTGTAAGCACAACTATAGGTGTAAAGGAGGGCCAGCGAAGTATATACTCACAGAGATTAATCCTATAATTCACTTAAAGATTGAATTCTGACACCAATTTCTCCAAACCAACCACCACTTGAATTCCAGGTCCATGTAAATTTATAAACAACGAGAAAACTTAAAAATAAATAAATAAATAAATAAAAATTTATACTCTCTGCTTCATTTCTTCCTAAATTCACAAAAATCGGAATTTACCATCGAAATTTCACCGAACCAACAACCAATTAAAATCCCCGTAGTGTCAGTGTGCATATATTATCAGCTAAAAGTGCAAAACATTTGGGACACGGTGGAGTATGTTACTATGTTATTTGCACTAAAAGTGATTTGTTACCTGTAAATCATCTATACCAAAGTAAATATACAACAATTACATGAAAAGAAAAATTCATATACACTCATACAGATACAAACCTTATGTTGGAGGAGGATATGAGAAGAGATGAGGGATTTTTTGGAGCGAAAAATCCCACAGTACTCACAATAATATCTCCTAATATCTCTGAATATCACTTCTCTTCCATCTTGTTCAATACCCATTTTACCAGTGCAGATACAGATAGAGAAGAAACCCTTACTGTGAAAAGTGTGGAGATTAAAATTAGGGTTAGTGCATATATATATTGCCTGAAACTAAAAAAATCGTGTCACTTTAGTCACCAATCTTTAAAATTGTTTTAATTAAGTCACTCTTAGAATTTGGTGGAGTTAATTCTTTAATAGTTCAATCAATGTTTTTTATTAATCACTAAAATTTAAAATGTCGAGTTTTAATAATTGAACTTAGGTTCATATCTTCGATTGTCCACTAAAGCTTAAAATGTAGAATTTTGACCATTAAACTTTAAAAATGTTGTACATTACTCAGTGTAAATTCGACATTTTTCAAAATTCAACATTTATACTAGTGAGTAGATTACAATATTTTCCAAAATTTAGTAGTCAAAATTCGACATTTTAAAATTAAATGAGCAATTGAAAACATTGATCTAAATTCAGTGATCAAAACTGATTATTTTAAACTTTAATGACCAATCAAAGATATGAATTTAAATTTGATGACTATTAAAACAATTAATTCAATTTGGTGATATTTTTGTGTAGAGTGAAATAAGTAACAGGTCAGATAATGAAACTGAAAAATGTTTATTTTTTATTTTTTGAGAATACATAAATAAAAAGTTGGGAAAGTCGGAGATAGCCGTCCCTGCTAGGGGTATAAGCGGTTCGATTTTATCGATTTTTGACAATTTTTCAAACCAAACCGTTTCAACCGGTTTGAGAAAAACTCAAACCTAAACCAAACCATTTTGAACGGTTTGAAAAAAACTCAAACCTAAACTTAACGGTTTGGTCCGGTTTCCCTATATATTTTTTTGCCCGTCTACTTTTATGTCATTAATTCATTGAATTTAATATATATTTATATCTCACTAGCAATAAATCTAAACCAAAATAAGCCCCTGTTTGAACAAAATTTTTTGGACAAAAAAATGAAAATTTGGATCGTTATCCCACAAGTTCAGCCGCCTTTGTTGATTTGCTGTTTCATGTGTGGGACCCAATTTCCTCTCCAACGATCAATTTTCTCATTATGATGATATGGAAAATATGGCTCAAACAAAGCTAAATATATCTACTATAAATTTAAATACCAACTAAATCAAAGTGAAATCACAATAAACTAAAATATAGTTTTCTTCATTTTTGTTCACATTTTTTAGGCTAATGACGATATAATAACATTACAATACAAGTCTACTAAATTAGATATAAGGTCAAAAAATATAATGATATCCAACAAGACCTCGTGATCATCATATTTGAAAAAATGATACTGATTAAACAACGAAAATAACCAACCACACTAATAAAGCAATTGTTTATAATATCTAAACATAACAATTACACAAGTTTACGTTTGTATTATGTTACGAAATGCATTTAATTTTAGATTCTTACCTTAGTTTGCTCCAAAAAAATTATTGATTTGAAACTTTATTCGTAGCAAATATTATCACTGAAGGTCTAAGATCTCTTTGTCTCCGATTTGGTATAATGGATTTCAATTTAACTTGGAAGAGGCGTGAAAAATATGAAAAAGAAGTATGTGGTGCCGATGGCTCCAGATTATGTTGGATGTCGGTTGGAGTTCACCTAAATTCTAAAGAGGAAAATGGCTTTTGATAGATTATGTTAGTCTTGAGATTGTTAGATATAAATTATGATTATTGGATAATAATAATATATCTGTATTAGAAAATTAGAAATTGACAAAAATACCCACAAATGACAAAATTATTGAATTTTAAATATTTGGATGAATTTTCACAAAAATTCATTTTTTTATTTTTTTATTTTTATATATTTTTTCGCTGATCCGGTTTGGTTTTAAACCACAATGAAAATTCTCAAACCTAAACCAAACCATTTTGACCGGTTTGGTTTGGGTCAAAACCATTTCGTTGACCGGGTCCACGTGACACTAAACCGACAGTTTCTAAAATGCGGTTTTGGTTCGATTTTCCAGTTTGACGATTTTTACTTACAGCCTTAGTCCCTGCATTAAAATGCCCTTATCATGGGCAGGGGGCCCCAAAATATACATGACATTACCAGGATATCGCCTACCTCGTTAAGAGGGTCTTTTTGCGATGAAAAGTATACCTTCCTATTCAAATTATTAAAATAATAATAATAATAATAACAACAAATTGGAATTATACTCCCAATCTTTTTAAAATAGTGCGAATAAGTTTAAGTAAATTATGAAAAGGGTAATTAGCATAAAACGTCTTCACCTTTTAATATTATTGTGCAAAATATTTATACCTTTCATTTTTTGACATTTTTATCCTTATTCTCATATTTTATTTCGAAATCATCATTTGTATCTATTTCTCAATTAAAAGTTGTAAAATGATAATATAAACCGACCTCTTTAAATAAACTAAAATAAAGAAAAAATAAAAAACAAATTGCAAAAATTTGCAGAGAATGCACTACATTTTCTTCATGCTATCCTCTCACATATTTGCAGCCAAGATTCAGTTTACATACTTTGCAACACTTTGCACTAAATGTCAATTGTTACAGGGGATGCTCCCAGCAAGCTCCTCGTCAATGCAACAGTCATTTCTCTGAGATTTTGTGTGACAAAAGATTAATGGAGCTCAAACAACAAGAGATGGCTTCCCTGAAACCCGTGCTGGAACTTTGTGCAAACATTGTAGCATGTTAATCTCAATCTCCATGAGAGCAATTCGGGTTTTGTCGCGATTCTGAGAGAAACCTAGTTTTCCTTCGCTCAGAAATCCACACAACAGCATTAGTAGACTAGAATAGAATCTAAGGGCCCAAGTAAAGAATCACTTGAAAAAAAAATGTCCTCTCTCTCTCTCTCTCTCACACACACACGTCATATATTTTCTTTACCAAGGTTGAAATTTAATCTTCTAATACATTTTTCATCACCATTACTGATCCTATATTATCATTGTTTATGATTTGCACCAGACAATTTTGGGAAAGAATGCTGCAAAAAATAAGCATTGCAAAGATTGCCTGATATATAATACTGAAAAAAGTGAACCATAATTGATAATTTGGACAAGAAAAATGTGGTCATACTTGCCTAGATCACTTGAATCCTGTGAATCCAGGTCAGTTCATCATCTCCAGTAGCCTTAGGAAAAAAAGCAATCACATAAAGGAAACAAATGACAATCTTTACCTGCAATAAGCAACACCCATCAATGTCAGAATACCGAATTCTCTGGTCTCTGCAGCCAAAGGCCAACATTATAGTATTAGAATTACAAAAGAGGCTTCCCAAGCTTATTTCATGTCACCACACCTGTTCGACAAAATCTATAGTGTGGGAAAGGACAAAGCAAGAACCTCATCTGTGAGAACTGAGAACAGGTGCATAAAGAGAGGATGCATGCCGCGTAAATATAGCAGTCAAGAACCTATTAGATTCCAGTCCATTTGTCTCAGGCAGCCAATGGCAGAAAGAAGTCCGGTTGTGATCATAAATCATTATTCCACAAAGAATCCATATCATTCTTAAAGATCTGTCTCATCATTGATTTCCTTCTCATAAAGCTCATCAAACACCACTTCCGATGAATCACCACTCTTGCTGGGATGATAGTCATATCTTGCCGTTGGGAAAGCTCTCTAAAATTGGAATAACAAAATCACCATCTCTCACGCCAAGTTCATTTTCATTACACACTTTTCTTCTATCCTCAACTTCTGACCACTCTCTCAATTCTTTAGTATTACGACACCCCAATAAAATAAGCTCCAACATTTTCCTCCTCACGTCATAAACCGGATTTGGTTCTACCAAACACCCTTTATCATATGCTTCCCTAAGATAAACCATTTGTGTGTTCCCTCTAGTCGAAATATAAAAAATCCCCGGATGTTTCAAAAGAAGCTCACGTATGTTAACCTCAACACCAAGATCCTTCCGAAAATGCGCCAATCTCTCAACCTCCACCTTTTTCTCAACCGTCAAGCACAAGAGCTCGTGAAAAATACCCACTGCTCGCTTTTCGTACCTTTCAACTCCTCCAAAACTACGGATGCTAACATTTTCCATTCTTTCATACGGCTTCACATACGTAAGCCTTTGCCAATTCCTTAGTTTCTCCCTAAATCCTGGAACTATCATAAACCCCGTTGGGAAATTAATTGGAAATGCATATTTTGTCTCGAATTCACTTAACCATTTCTCTCTATACTCCTTTTCTCTCCACATCTCAACATCCGCCACATAACTCGAACTCTCATTATTTTCATTCCTATCAACCAATTCCATTATCTCCAAATCAAATAATCTAAAAACATTATCATATTTTCGAATAATGGACTCTCTAAAATCTTCAGGCAAACCCAGTTCTCTCCTAATCAATCTAATTGCATGTAAATGAATTTTCCCATTCACAGACATCATTAATAGCTTTCTTATCTTAACCACATTAATATCTTCCATTTCACATAAAATTTCAACTTCTCGCTTTAACAATTCGATAAATTTCGGCGTAAATTTACAGCAAACATTTCGCTGAATCGGGTGCGTAAATACCTCGAACACATGGGGATATTTCCGTATAAAAGCGCCAGCAGTTACTGTATCGATTCCGGCGTGTGGAGCCCATCTGGAGAGGAGCTGTACGGAGACAAATGGCCCACGTTTCTTGGCGGAGATGAGCTTGTGGATGCTCAGAACGAGTTCAAGCCGGCGGTGGTGGAATGTGAGGAGGTCGAGTTTCGGGTCCCGAGCACGAGTCTCTAAACGGGTCTGAGCCGTGTTGGCGGGTTTCTTGAAACGGATCTGGATTGTGGAGTTGAATGGGCCTCGTTGAAGAGTGGCGGTGAATCTTTCTATGATTCTCATAATAGAGAAGCAAATGGAATGAGGAACAATTGGGAATAGCGCGGAGCTCTGTTACTAGCAAGTTTCGAGTTGAAAGCTTGTTTTTTTTTGGACTTTTTTACTTGATAGGTATCGACGCCAAACTATTATCTTGTCTTGTTGTCATCTCGTGTCTAGAGAGAAGCATAGCCTCCAAAAATGTCAAACATAATTTTTCCTTCTTGTAGCTCGATTAATTTTACTTTTTCGTGTTTTTGTAATTTCATGATTATTATCGTAGTAGAAGTAAGATAGAGGGGATGAGAAGTTCAAAATTTTCCTTCAACGGTGAATAGAAGAGGTTGCTGACATATTTGGGACAAGCTCGATTAAAGACATTTCAACTCTACGTGAGTTAATTGATTTTGACTAGACTCGTCATAAATGGAAGGTTGTGAAATCAACAACTTTGATCTGTTCTATGTCAATACGAGCCACCAATGATGCTATAAAATTATATGCTGAGGGCTGTAGTAAAAAAGAAATAGATGAGGGACCAAGTTACAACAGATATCATAAATGGGGACATGTACTGAAAATTTTCGAAGAAAATACAGGACAAAACCGAGCTCGTACGCTTATCCAAAAAACCAAATGCCAGTGGGAGATATGGCTCTCCTTCTCTTTACCGGCAATCCCGCCAGTACTCCCCTTTTCTCTCTTTCATCTTCATCGATTCGTTCTGCAATTACTGCCCACCCACGTAAGTACAAGCAATTCATCTTTATTTAGTCCTTCGGTACGATAATGCTTCCTTAACTATTGCAGCATTCAACAATTCTTTAGATGTTGTATGTTTGAAATCTTTGTGTGTATGAATATGTCATTGTATGTCACTCATTATCTGGGCTGTTCTTATTTTGATATATGTGGTGATTTTAATTGTAATTTTTGTTTATGAATCCTGGTTTTTTGTTTTCTTGTGGGGCTTTTTCTTGATACACTAATTTACCTCTCTTTCACACTCGCACAGAGATAAACTGTTGAGCAAAGCAATTGTCTTTGGCTTCTTGCTTATCAATTTGTTGACATATGGAGATAGAATTTTAGTTAAATATAATGTAGATCCTTTCATTTTGTCTTTTGCTATTGATTTTTTTTGTTTCTAGGCCCCTTTTGAGCCAGGCAGCTTCTTTGACTACTTATATCGAACACGTAGTCTCCATTATATCTTAAGTATGTATGTCACTGATCGTTTGATTTATTTGCATGTTGTATTTTGGACATCAAGCTTCTTGGAGATTGTCCGAACCCAACTTTTGTAGCTTAGATTTATCTTCAAATGATAAAAATTAATAACGGCAACTTTGTTTTTGTAGTTCTTGTTGATTTACACTGCCAGTCTTTTTTGTAAAGTTGATAATATTCTTGAATTTTGTAATTGGTTTCTTTTATCAGTTTGCAGATCATGCAACAATTTGGTTTGCCTAAAGCCAAAATCCAATGTTGGGTACAGAACTCTAACTTCATTTATTCTCAAAGAGAGAGGTGTATTGATTGTTAAAGCATCTTCCGATGTTGATGGTGTAGGCTCCAATGATCCGGAGTCTCCTGCCTCTCCATCGGAAAGTAATGAGGAAAATGTGCCCATAGAAAACCTTCCTCTGGAATCCAAGTTACAGCTAAAGCTTGAGCAGAAGATGAGAATGAAGGCAGCAAAGAAGATTAGGCTAAGGAGAAAGAGGCTTGTTAGGAAGCGCCACCTAAGGAAGAAGGGACGATGGCCTCCTTCAAAGTTGAAGAAGAACAAGAATGTGTAAACTTTATCTTGCAGGTTTTTATAGTGACTTGTTTCCTTACTATGCCATTGCAATTAATCTTTTGTGATTTCAAATTCTCATTTTTGTTTAATGTAGTTAAGTTTAAAAATTCAGTAGATATCGTATTGAGGTTTCAAATCAATTGGATTTGTTTTGCAGAATGACTTTTTTTTTTCTTTGCACCAATTTTCTCTTTGTGGACTTTGTTTTGGTCACTTGTTTATTTTTCCCTGCCTTTTCTTCTAATATTAAGGGGTATATTAGATTGAGACTTTTAAAGACTTTCATGGACATTTTTCAAGTAATGACTTATGTGGATTTCGTGGATTTTTTTTATAAATTTGTATGGAATTAATGAAAATCTATCATAAACTTTGTAGACTTTCATTAACTTTTGTAGAATTCAACAGACTTTTGAAAACTTTCATTTCAAATGGAATTTATGTGATCTAGTGTAGTAGTGTGAACTTCTCACATACGAGGTGGTGGTTCCAACAATTCCCCTTCTTCTTCTCCTTTTCCTTCCCCTCATATAATAAAAAATATTTTAAAAAAATAAAACTTTAAGACGTTAATTAAATAAATAATAATAATATGTGTGTGTGTGAGATAAAAAATAAATTTAATATTCGGTATTATTAATATAACATACTTTTAAAAATAAATAAAAAATCAATGTATCAAAAGTTTAATCATAAATTAATCTATATAACATTTTATAATTTAATTAAAAATAGATATTTTTTCACTAAAAATGAATGATAAAAGAAAAAAAAAAGTTATAAGATTCCAATTTAACTTTTTCATAGAAAATAAAGATAAACAATAACAAAAAGTAGAAACAAATATATTCGGTAGAAAAACTAAATTTTTAATCATAGTTCTAATGTTCGTAAAAGGGAAAAGGAAAGAAAAATATTGAAAGAAAAAAAAATTACATATTATTATTATTTTTTAATGAAAGTCTCCCAAAATCTTGGGATTGAAGAGAGACATATTTTGAAATTCTATTTTTATTTTCTACTTAAAAATTAGTACCCTGGAAAAGTCATTAAAATTTGAATATCCCAAGATTTCTAAAAATTTTAATTGAATACATTGTAACTTTTAAAAACTCTTTAATAGTTTTCAAAAGTTTCAATTGAATACACCAATACTTTTAGAGAGTTTCAAAAAGTCTTCATTGAATACTCCTAAATTTTTTAAATCCAAAAAAGTCACTAAAAGTCTCAATTAAATACTTGAGCAAGGATGTGTCGAGCTACTTACAGTTTGTGATGCTTCAGTGGATTGACCATTTAATGCAAAGTTGTTTGGGTGCAAATTATTAGTTTGACAACTTTTTTGGAATTTGGTCAGTTAAATGAAGCTATGGGAGTAAGGTAGAAGCTTTAAGGACTCCGAGAATTGGATATGCAGTGAAAGGAAAACTCTGCTATTCAATTCCTTCATAAACTTCAAGGGATCAGTTTGTTCCTGGATTGACACTATAGCTTCAACAAGAAAATGCAGAGATGGTTTGAAATTTACAGGGTGTACATTCTTAAATTGCATCGCTATCTAGTAAATTTTCACCATAAATTTCACTTAGGCAGGTGGATTTACCATACTAAATGAATTTGAGTTGGAGTCGACTTTTGCTTACGTTGATTATAGCCCACAACTTGACATTTGAGTATATGCTGATGGGTGTAGGGATCTAGTGTGAAAGATTGACTACAACATTGTGTGTGGATTTTTGTCTCACAAATTTTACAGCGGAATCTACTGAGAATTACTGCCAGGAGGATGGATAGATGAGGACGAGAAGGTGTTCATCCCATCTATTTTCAACTGTCCCAGGTGACAACATCCATCTTTTTACTAGCTTCGGATTTGAACCCTATCTTTTTACTAGGTTTGGATCTTAAAGTATAGATGGTTACATGCATTGCATCAATAAGGTAAGTGGACCTTATTGATGCCTATCATTTCTTTAGGCCGAAGGGGGAGGTAAGGTGCTGGACTAGGGAGGTTTGGAAACCATTTATCACTCCAAAACATGTTTTTATCCTATGGTTGGGTGTTGCAGTCGAAGCTAATTACGAAGGATAGGTTGCCATACTTTAACATTGACAAAAATTGTACTTTTGTGGATCACATTTTGAAAATTGATAGCATCTATTTTTTCAATGTTCATTCACATCTAGCATATGGATGAGGACTAAAGATTGGATGGGGATTAGAAAATCAATGACTACAATTCTGAGTGCTTTAAAATGAATCAAAAAAGAGGTCTGAGGAACATCTTGGCAAAGTAAAGCTAAAAGAATTGCACTTGCAAGCACCACTTACCATATTTGGATAGCACAGAATAGAAAGATTTTTGAGAATATTTACCCACAAGTAGATAGCATTGTAAGTTTATTAAAACACGCGTGTATAAGGTTATGTTTGCTTTGTACTCGCATGTTTTAATACATTATGAGTCATTGGTTTTGAAACTGTAGTTCTTATTGTTTGTACATCTTTTCTTTAGATTGCTCGGGCATACTTGAAGTAGTAGTATTTTACTTATTGCTTGATTACTTAGGTATACCTAGTGTACTTGTACACGATTTTGATCAATAGAATTTTACATTTATCGATCAAAAAATAAGTGGACCTTCAGTCGACATAAGTTGGTGTCTGTGCATTCTGTGTTCGACGATGTTGTCGTTGGGTAGAAAAAGAAATTTAATGTCAAAGGAGAACTTGCAAGTTTGTTGGATTTTGTCCGACCCCTTTCATTGATTGTCTGAGCAGTTGTTCTAGGTAGCGAGATTGTCTCAGTTTAGATCGCCTGCATAATAACTGTCATCACTCTTACGAGATGGCTTGGTTGGAAGGTTGTGCGTGGAGCCGAAAGGCGTGCTAAGTGTGCAGGTCAATTAGAGATATGGTTGATCATAACCTCAAAGGAGTAGTTAATGCAGAGATACGGCTGATGACCATAACCTCATATTACAAGCATCACAATGGTTTCACTTACAAGCACTGGCAAATCCAAGAATTCATTTGAGATAAGGCCGACGTTTGACGGGCCGCCAATATATGGAAAAAAAAGAAAAAATTATATATATTCTAGTGGATCCAGCACCCGATAAGCATATACAAGTGTCACAATGGTTTCACATGCAACCCATTGCGGATCCAAGAATTCAATGGAGCTAGGGCAGGGGCTCAATATATGG